CTATCGAATTTTTTATCCTATTTTCATACATATTCGAGTAGTCTGTACAAATTTCTTCAACAAGAAATATTCAAATTGAGTCGACTGTGACGCACATTTGTAGATCATCTCACAATTAAAACCTCCTATCGGCGGGAAAGATGCAGGTAGTAATTTTCGTTTGACACAAAAATATGTACACAATTTATTCACAAGTATTTAAATAGTGATCCAGATATATATTTATTCATATTTATTTGAATAATTATTCGTATAAAAATGAATTTATAGTTAATCCTATAATGTGCAACTATAGTAATGATAGTAATAATGCAGTTTCGACATAGAATTCTCGAACTAACAATCATAACTGTTACTATAACACGTGAACTGCAACGACGTTGATAAGTTTGAAACCAAACACGCAAGAAATAAGCATACTTATGTAGCAGACCCTGTTACGTATCGCTATACCAAAATCGACCGAAGATCGTTCCGTGAGATTCTCACGAAACTGCGGGTTACAACGTGCTACATCGCCTTCGTCTAGTTCAAAGCTAAGCCCGAACACGGAACATTATGTAAGAACACGGCCGGATGAGTAGCGAGAAAGAGTAGGACGGAATGCTGAACGAAATAGAGATACTTACCTGACGATCGCAGATTTGCAAATGTACAACAACGTGCAGCACACAAAATTGAACGGGGAACTTGTTCACGCTATTTATCTGATCCAACGATTCGACGTTTTCCACTCACCGAACCTTCCAGAGTTTAATGGCCGAATAGCGAAACAATGGGTGGAATGATTTACGCAACGGTGGAACCTAAAATATTTTGTGGACTGTTAACGTGTTAGAAAATAACAATCTGTGAATTTTGTTTAGAATTTAAAGATTGTAATTATTTTTCTCACCTCTGGTGCCATTTTTGTAGCTTTGTATTGTACACATGTGAAACACGTTACGATGTCGGAATTTTCCTCGTTACGGATGCCATTTGTAATGCTTGAGTTTACGAAACTGAAACATTTCCACATCGAGAATCGTGTAATGCTCTTCAAATAAAATAAATTTTGTGATAAATATAAATAATAAACCCTATCGGCCCGGTACTAAAAACATAGCTGCTAGAAAATTAATTCAGTGTGATAGATAACCATCGAAGGAAAATTATTATATGTAATTTAAATAATAAAGGCATGTACTGCACTATAAACACAGATAAGAACACTCTACAATGATAGTATGAACTCTACATGTTAATCAAGTGTATAATGAACGTTCAAAGTTTTCTAAAGTTAAACAATTGCTTGTAACGCTGTTATATTTAATCGAGCATCCCATTGAGATTTTAATTACTACTGTGACACATCTAAAATTTATGTATTCTCTATTTGCAACATACAGTGGGTGTAGAAAAAAATTTCCAAAAAAAAACTATGTAAAATTGTAATTTATTAACTTATTTTTTATAAACATAGACATTTTACATATTCTTGAAAATCTCTAGAATAGATAGATTACAAAAAAGTAATAGCTATTTATGTAAGTTGCGAAATTAACAAGAAAAAAACAATTAATCGAACGAAATGTTGAAGCAATAAGTATTCGGACAACTGTTTAATTTTTAAAACTTGATGAAAAAAAAAGAAATTTACATTAATTTACAAGTATATAATACTTCCTTCGTGGGATTTCCTTTTGATTTTATAATTATTGTAACTCTTCTAAGCATTAAATTAACTAAATTATTAGTTATTCGAAGTGGGATCTTCTTCGATTCCTCTATTAGAGCCATTTTTAAAAGTACTTTACTGGAAATTTGATATTTTATAATTCGTACAGAGCAATGAACTAATGTGTTTACGTTACAAACTCTCCTGTAAATGGTTCGTCATAAGAATCGTACAAATACTTATTGCTTCTGTACTTTTACCCACTTTTCGCATTTTTTTGTTAATTTCACAAATTATACTAACTAGTAAATGTTATTTGGATTATATCTATCTTAGAGACTTCTGAGAATATGCAAAATATCATTGATTATAAAAACAGAAGTTAAGAAACTACAATTTCACACAAAAGATTTTTGGAAATTGATCGGTGTACGAATACATTCTACACTCACTGTATAAGATTTCTCTGTAGCTGTAGCTGTAGATTTCTCTGACTGTAGCGATATGAAACGAATGTTACAGTCACGATACTACCTATTTTTATAGTCGCCCTATGAACACGAATATGTGTTTTTGTCAAGAATTATACGCGATAAGCAATTGTTCTATTGATACGCAACGCGTGCCTTTAAAATTATGTCACAACGAGGAAACGAAGCGTCGGAATGAAGCAATTTGCAATTCATAGTATTCCACGCAACGGCACGAATTTATTCTTGTAACAATTTGATGTACACTCAAGACGCGTTTCCGGGTTTCCGTTTCATTGCGTGTCAAAATAAATTAAAAGAATATTATCGAACGTTTCATAATGGATGCACGAGTAGATTAGGTTGCCTTGTATAGTATGAGTTGTAATCAGTATCGATTCATGACGAGTGTCGATATAATGTTCCGTGATGCGTGATTATGCATAGCGTTAACATAAATTTTAGTCGAAGAGCCCGCGCATTACTCGATTCTCAATTTAGAAATGTTTCAGTTTCATAAACTCAAGCATTAGAAAATATTTCTTCCTGAAATTAAGTTCTTCTTCAAAATTATATATCTTCGTCTAATATTTTACATCTTCGATCGAAAACGATATAACATGAGTACACCTGTATTTAGAGCTTTCCGAAACTATTCTCAATTATTTACTTTGAGTACTCGGCATACAGAAAATAGAAAATTGAGGAAACTTGAAAAGTCTTATCTGAAATTAAATCGAGTTACTGTGCGTGATAGTATTTTCTGCTGCGTAATTTTTGTGTCACGTGTAAAACAACCTTTTGTGGGGACAGGTAGAAACCAGGAGTTTAACTCTCAATTTCGTATTAGTAATTTCCATAAAATAACGTTTAGTATATCTATACTAATGACACAGAGTAACATGTGTCAAATCAATTCGATCGGATGATAAAAGATTCCAATCGGTTAACATTATCTTATACTAATATGTACATGATGATACTTAGATGAGGAAGGAGCGAGATTGACGTATAAAATTGAAATGGATTTAGAAGTCTGACATCAATATATTTATCCAAAGGCAATTTCTTCTGAAATATTTGTAGAGTTGACGATAAACAGTTGATGAACAACATAACGCTAACCATACAACGATGTACCAATTCACTTTGAGTATAATGTACCTTATAGCAGTTATTGAAAATGTACTGAATGGAAAATATTTCCTACGGACATTAACAGTCTTCCTTGTACAATCTTGCGTCATGGAATTAACAAAACACATATTATACAACACAGTACATGTTGTCATTACACAGAGTCTCTGACTATTCAATATATGTATGTATACCGAATAAACGTTATAATATGATAATATGTGAAAACTTATGTAATACGTAAAAATATTACTATAAGTAAAATCGTGGAAATGAAAGAGCTTTTGATTAATCATAATGAATCTAATTCTTGTCTTGTGATGCATTTAAACAGAGATTAATGAATTGAGAAAAGAAGAAAGTTACTAAGATTAATATTTAAATATAACAACCATTCCTGTGTATTTAGTGTCCATTCTTTAGTATCACAGCTTTAGAAGAATATCTCCAGTAGAAGGAAAAAGAAGAAAAAATAGAAAGTACACTCGAGACGAGCAAGGTCTTTTATTGTATACTTTGTGTGTTATTTTGGAGAATTATATTCTACACGATATAAGAATTTTGTCCGTCTCGAATGTTCTTTCAGGGTTTCCCTCACTTTCATTACGACTCTCCTCTATGTTTCTGATCTATTTTTTATTCTAAATAAATAAGTTTTACAATGTAAGTGTACTTTAACTTCCTCAGTCTGTGAAGATGATCGAGCACATATCACCGAAACGTCGTTAATTAAATTGCTTGCAATATCGATGATGCTTCTAAAAAGTTATACTTAAAAAAATTCTAACACAATTAAGAACTGCGTCGAATACGTTTTCCTTCAAGTATGACTTTTAACGTGCTTTCTCATGTGCATTATAAATAAAACAAATACTGTAATCATTAATAATTAACTTCATTTTTCTAGTTTAGAATATTACCATTTATGTATTTCCTATATCTTTCACACATTATCATATGAACTCTTCACTGTATAAATCGATTAACTCCACCAGTCACATGAAAATTGTAAAATTACTGACGATTATTTTTTGTCTATTCTTTCTTATTAATTTTGTATACCGTTACATGAAAGCTACATCTCCATTTACGCATTCTACGATATTTATTTGAATTTATATTATAAAGGGAATTATAAAAAAAGCAATGTACATTATCTCATCGCATTTCTCAACTTTTTGTTTTATAGAGTTAATCGATTTGTGCAGTGAACAACTCATATTATAAATTATAACATTAATCGATGCGTCTACGACACATTTCTGAGAAGAATATCTTCGCAACTTGACCAAAATATGAATTGATTCGATCTTCGTCTCTTTTTTATCCAAGCAGTTTCCTCTCGTTAACAAAATTCTCACGTTCGATTCCTATAAAATTCTCAGAGTGCTATCCGTGCCGTTCGATTCGCCGTCGCTGTTCTAAACCGCGGCGTGATTTTAAAAAGGTTAAGAACCACCGCATTAGAAACACCGGAATACATTAACCTGCATCGTGTCAAGGATACGCGGTGTCGCGATCACTGGACCAGCTCGATCAAGGATCCGCCAGGACCGGGGTCTCTGGCAAAACGGATCACCGCGGTTTTGAATGAGTTTTTTAGTGGGCAACATTGGTGGGGTTACGATGATGAAGAGGTTGGAGGTGGCGGAGGTGAAAAAGGGGGGATCCGAGTGTCGATTGGGGGGAGGACAGCAGTGGAGAACAGCGATATATGAAGGCGAAACTGGCGCTCCGCAGACTCAATAGCCCAGAAACTCCACGTGGTGTACCGTCGAACATCGCAAAATTTCGCGTGCGGATAAAAAACGGTTACGTTTCTTCCGCTCCTTCCGTTGCCACGGAACACGTTCGGCCGTACTTCTAGCCTATACGCGATTCGCTGTCGTCACGATAGTCAGTTATTGTCTTCTTCGTTACGAAATCATTCTCAGTGATCGAGGAGGGGGACTCGCGGGTTTCTTGTGACCGGTGGTCGATACCCTCCGGGGGATGGTAGCCAGGTTCAAATGAGAGAACGATCGTTTGCTGGCAGTCAGCTCTTTTGAACAAGCGAGAAGAGGGTGGTAAATCGAAGGAAGGCTCGTTGTCCAAGACCTTTGCCGGTGTCGAGGGAAGAATGGGCAAGGGTTGGAAAGGTATGGCCGTTTGTTTACATGTCTTATGAATCGTGCACTGGCAACTAAATTTAAAGAGAATTTATTCCGGTAATTTGTTCCTTTACGACTGGACAAAACATACCTGTTAAATATACATCGATAATTAATGTATGTTGGAACTTATAATACAAGTTTAAAAATAAGTACTATGGAGAAAATTCAGAAAACATTGTAACTTTGTAGAATTATAGTTCAAATGGAGCTCGTAACGTTATTTGATACAGTGAAACAGTGCTAGGGATGAGAACAACGTGAATATTTTCGAAAGTGGCAAAAATATCGAAAGAAAGTTTAATTTCAAGTTTTGTGATTCTTAATATCTTGCAATGTAGTGAAAACAAAAATTCAAAACAAACGAATGATTTGTTCTCTACACGAAAATTAAAATTCGACACAAAATTAAGAATAGACTTGATTTTCCATTTAGGAGACTCAAGGGTTCGAAAGGTATGGCCGTTTGTTTACATTTCTTATGAATCGTGCACTGGCAACTAGGAGTATCTAATAACATGAAGACATTTGTGCTTTTTACAGTGTAAAATGACTGATAACGACACTGTGAAATTCTACAAACATTTGTAGTGAATCGTGAATAATTTTTACAACCTAAAATATAATTAACTTTATCAGCTACAATTTTACTAATACTTCGTATCAGAGAAATGGAGTAAATTATTGCTGAGTGTAGTATTTGTTTGTAACACACGTTAAAAAGTCACGTGATATTCAACTAAATTTTAATACTGTTGCAAACATGTTTTCCCGCGTTTCCTCTAATTAGGGCATTTGTACTTGACGAGCTAACACGATATGAAGCAAGATATCTCTGTGGTGTAATTATTAGACTGTGAAGTTGGTATAGTCTATTGTAGTTTACATACGTTAATTTGAGAACCAACTGGTGGTACAAGCGAGTAGCAGGTGATTCTACGTGAAAAATTTAATCGAAAATGTAGAATAAAATTTGTTCATATGACGCTTTATTTTAGAAAAAAAATTAGTTTGAAAATTTGTCGAGTACGCGTGCACTTGGACCAGCTTCAGCTCGAAGGATTTCATTGTAGATCACCTCCATTCTTGTTCGTAAACGTTGTCAATCGATCGATGAACAGATTCCCAGAATTCGTCTAATCTACGAACTGTTGTAAGTGATGTCCACGTTGTTGCAAACATAACTATGCTCTATTAAATTGCATCGAACGTTTTCGAATGCTATAATAATTTTTGGTTTTAATTGTTCAATGCTCGACATGTCATCGCTATACACGATGGACCTAACGATCCATCTGGTGGCCCATCTTATTGAAAAATTAAATTTCTTCGAATTATAAGCGGAACATTTTCCAAAATTCAGGTAACACGTCCCGCTAAATCAAGAACGTGCGTACTCGATAAATGTTCAAACTTATTTTTTCGAAAATAAAGGGTCATATGAACAAATTTTATTCTACATTTTCGATTAAATTTTTCACATAGAATCACCCTCTACTCGCTTGTACCACCATTTACGAGACACCCTATATAATATTTCTCTTGAATTATATTTCTCGTTAAACGAATCAAAATTTATCTGAAGTACAATGCAATAAATCGTTATCTATATTTCATTATTCGATTCAAATTTGCCCGTGTCTGTATTATATTCTGTGTACGTTAAACATATATGTTCTCCATATTTCCATATAAATGTATGTAGGATATAATTTTAATGAAACCGGGTGGGTGTGGAGGGGCGAGAGGTGGAGAGATATGTGTGCATAATTACAATTGAAGAAGACCTAAACCAAACCTCGAAACGCAAATGTTTTTTCAAATGATAATGCTTGTGTTGGCCACCTTCGTTTTTAATTTGGATTTACAACTGACAAGCACCAACTTCGACTTAAAATCATCCTATTAAATTCATTAACGATACTCTCTGCTGATTGTTCTACATGTAGGACAGATAAAAATGCGCATCGCCGATAGGGAAACAAAAGACGTATTGGGCAACGTTATTCTACACTACGTTTTTTTCATAAACATTCATGATTCTGACTTATACGAAGTTCAAGAAATGTTCGATATAACCAACAAAGTAACGTATTACACAACCATATTTTTATTTTTCAATACGCTACCCTGTAATCGCTTTGCACTTTTGAGATCCCGAAATTAACTTTTTCGTACACCCATAAACATAGTTCTGTACTTTGCTGTCAGTATGCTCATTAATAGCCGCTCCTTTAAGACGTCTTCGTCTAATAAACGGTTCTGCCTGTGTTGAATTCACTTGACCACTCATGAATCATTGATAATGAAGGTGCAGGCTCATTGTGGACGGCAAACGTCCTTTCTTGGATCATTTTCTGACTTTTTCCTTGCTTCTTGCTTTCGAGGAGCGAAATTGATCACGATGCATCGTCAACGATTCTCAGAACAGTACTCATTGTATAATAGTGATACATATTTTCTGTGTAATTTCATGTAGTAATTTTCTTTACTGAGAATTAATGACTTTTCTCTACAACTATCCCGATGTATCGATACCAAGGAACTGTTAAAACATTATTTAACTTTAATCGAATGCTCTATAAGTACATAAATTAACGTTCCACGTTTTCTTTTGATTTTCTTATTCTTTTCTTATCCTTCGATTCTAATTTACTATTATAAATTACATTTTTTTATACTAAAGAAAATCTGGACCTATCGTTTCATATAGTAATGCTTATTAGTACTGTTCACCTGCGTTTTGAATTTTCATCCTGAACCTTGAATATCATTGAAAAATATGGTAAAATGTACATTGTCCTAACGTGACAATTCTCGTGGCACGGAAAGGAATATTTAATGAAATGAATTACAGATCTGTGTCAAGTATTGACGAAAAATATGGAAACCATAGTTCGTGAAAGAAATCATGAACTATTTCAATGATACACACGCATGTCGGCGATATCCCCGTTTCAAGCTGTTGGTTCGATAATGAATTATACTGGAAAAATTGCTGTCCCTTCACGGTACCCGAGCCATTGTAAACGAAGCGAGGCAATAATACCGTTTGCTCAAGAGGCAAAGGCTGACATAACTGTTCTTATTTTCCGATCGTTTCGATTCCTTATCTCGATTACGCATTAACGCTTTATTTTTTTTTTTTTTTTTGTTGTGTTATTGACCAACAATACCATCAGAAACATTCTATTCATCCTTATTAGACGATGCCACCACAAAGTTTTCTAGCTTCCTTTAAGAATAAGACAATTTTTATAATGTATAGTCTGGTAAGTAAAAAATATTTTGAGGAATGTTACAGGACTATTATAATTTGAATTGTGTTTAGTCAATACTGGCATTATTACTATAATAGGTGATTGTAATAACAATTACACGTTGGAAAGTTTGATACAGGACCGAAAATTATTTGAATATTACCAATAAATAATAAACTTGTTCTGAAGTATGTCTTACATAATACTGTAAATTATTACTTGAATATTTCAACAACCAGCTATTTAAAATCCATGCAACAATTTCCAACAATTTGCGACAGAATTAAATTTCTGCTTTCACTTAGTGAGTATATTCGAGAATATTATCTGAGGGCAATTTTATCTTTTTAACGTTCCCAGCAGAATATATTTAAAAGAAACATATACGCTGCTCCGAAAGTTCAAAAACAAATTTTCTTTTTCCACACAATTTCTATCAGTATGAACGGTATATTGTCTCGGTTATTATAGCCAGCGATTGTCAAAAACATTTGAGTGGAACACCGCTAAAAACAACAACGTTACACCGAACATTCTATTTACATAATGTCTCGTCTTTACGTCATACTGCTTTATTGACTTCTGCTGCGTAATCGTTACAAAGAAACGGAAAGGGCACAAAAACCTCGGTACATTGAATTAAGAATTATCATCGCGTTTCGGTGACAGATGCACCGACGAACGAAAGCTCCTCGCCGAAACTAAAGACGACCGCGACGCATTCTGAAAAGTGCCGTCGACTCTTTGACGCTGTCAAACCTTCAATGCCCGCTTTCTTGTGTATCCCGCGTGTCACACGGGCATTGACGTCTCCAAAAAGGATATCGTAATGCCTCGTTCCCACCGCTGTTACCTCTGTGACGCATCCTCCAATTACTATCGGCAACAAAAAAATAATGCAATCGGTTAGACCAGCGTTTCCCACAATTTTTTTTTAGCGTACATGAAACAGTCGTCTCGCAATTTATTTGGGGCACACTTGCATTCTTCTGCGAACAAAGATATGCGATTAAAGAAGAAAAGTACTTTTATGATCGATTTAGTTTCATCGTTTCTTTTCTTAAATTATTTAATTTTTAATCCATTCACTGTCAACTACGAGACGTCTCGTACTTCAAATTGATTGCAATTATTCAAGGGATAAGTTTATAGCTTTTTGAGTCAAGAATTATTGTAAAAAGGAATGGTAAATTTCCTTTTTAAAACAACAAACTTAATCACTTTTTATTATAAAAATAATAACCTAGATTACACATCTGTATTAAATCTTAGCGCCCAAGGCCTGGCGGTGAATGGGTTAACAATGTCTTTGCTGCTATTTTTGGTGACAATTATTGAATTAGGGAACTAGTTGCACTCATAAATTCATTTGAGCTTTCTTCCTCTATATAAACAGATAAAGATAAATTATAGATGAACCTTCAGATAAATTATAATATATTTTACTATCCATCTGAGGATAATCAGTCGTGATCAAAGACGTTTACGTAGTGTATAGAAATATTATTTAATCGATAAATATGTACGCGTTGCTTATTTTCTTCTCTGTTTTGATCAGGTGCAAAGGAATTCGTCGGCATCGAAGATGTGACGAAGTTCGATTTTCTGGTCATGATGTTCGCCGAGGCACTTGGAACAATGCTTCTGGTGCTTATCGGCTGTGCGTCCTGCATCACGTGGACCGCTGATAACCCACCCACCGTCGTGCACATTGCGTTTACCTTCGGTCTCGCTGTGGCAAGCCTGGCACACGTAAGTCGAACGTTTTCCACGCCAATTATTTTTTTAATATCTTTAATATTTTTTTATATCTTTATCCACAAATTCAGCATTTACTGTCGATATAAACGGTAACTAATGATTTTCTATTTTAAGACAAAAATTGGAAGCGTTGCAATAATTCAAAGAATTAAAACAGATATAGAATAATCCTGTCTCCAAGGTTATTAATTGTCATATGTATATAAACTTTTATTTTTTAAAGAAGTTAAAATACACACTCCCTCCATATATTTAATTTTTAAAGTCAACATTTTCCAGCATTCGCAACAATTTAAATTTTTATTTTACAACAACGTCTTGTCTATTTTAGGTAACGAATAACATTCTTTCAATAAGAAATCCTTTCAACGAAATCATCCAAATAACTTAACGTCAAGAAATACACGCTCGTATCTGTTAGATTCGCAGCTAAGTCGTAATAGCCATTTTAATGTAATGGGATTTAACATGCTCTAGAAGAAACACATGTGTTTTCTACTTTCACAATGCATTTAGATTTTGAGATCAAATCTGTGGTGGATCTGTGCTACCACGCGCGGCGGTACTATGTAGACAAGAAAAACCGACAGGGAAAAAAGTTTCCATTCACTCAATTAAACCGTATACGTTAAACCAGTTTTTAAAATCTGCCGCGCGCTGTTCCTATTTTTATTTTCCACCCTGTCAACATTTCAGATTCGTAACGAAGAATGTCAGTCTGAGGCAATGCGTCTCGTTATTAGTTGCGTTCTTATAACTTTGATTTATCAGTTATACGCGAGATTCTCGACTATTTTTGTAAACGTTTCTTGTGGTGAATGAAAGAAATAGGATTTAAGGAATTTATGAAGTGCGAAGTACGTATTGCAAGGAATTTAATTTAACTGTAGATTTCTGAAGATCTTCAAATAACTCGTATATAATTTATTAAATTCTTAGTTTGTTCATTGTAAATTCTATCATGCTGTAATTGAAAGTCTAAAATTTAAAGAGCTAATGAACAGTTTATGTTTCATTTGTTACTCTTACAACTTAGAATCGAATGCCATGGAAGTTACATGAGATGTTGCGCACAATTTTCAGTGAAACTTCGTAAGCTAGGTTGGAAATCAAAAGATATTTCCCACGTTTGTGTCAACAAGTAGCCCAACTAACATAAAACTTTCTATAATCGACAGATATTGCGTTACCATATTCCTGCATATTACAATTTATATTTCCTATTTTCTTAAACAAATATTTCACTCTACGAGTCTCTAATAACACAAATTTATATTATGCGTATCATTTTTCTGAAGCAGGCTCCATGTATACGTAGTCAAAACGTCGAACCGAACGTTTTCTTCGATGAAGTTACGTTTGCTCGAATATGTTCGTTCCCAATATTGACATAAAATAAATAAGCTGACGATTTACGATAAGTTTCGGCAACGTTCGCTCTCCCGTGTTCAGGTGCACGCTGAGTGCGTGATAAAACGTTTACCACCTCGCGTTTATCTGATTTCATTGAATGGAAAAGAAGTAACCGTGCACACGGCTCGTCCCATAAGAATTGTATGCCACCAATACTCCGGCGAGGACAGTGACTAAAGGGAAGAGGGGGATTCCATTCACCTTACTAAACTGTCGTGTCAAGGGAAATTTCACGAGCAAACTGCTTCCACTACTCTCGCTATCGTTCGTTCACTCTCTCATAGCACTCTATACTTTTCGTTAATCATATACAGTGACTCACGAAAGTATTTGAACACTTAGTACGAAAACGTTACTGAGATATTAGTAACACTGTAAGGAGATGCGACTCTGCAAATTGTATAGGTAAAGTTTCAAACAAATCGAAATGTGTAAACAATAGATTTGAACTATTTCTTGTAAACGTATAGATTGCTGAAGCCACAAAAGTATTTGAACAGGTAATTTTTAAATCTTTAATATTTAGTAGGTCCGCCTTTGGCACGAATAACATCCTGTAAGCGAGTATGCATACTGTTTACTAACTTTTCTGTAATACTTGGCGAAATAGAATTCCAAACTTGGAGTATTCTTTCCTTTAAACTTGCCGTGGATGTTATATTAAATTTTTGTAATTCTTTCACCATTATTACCCATAGATGTTCAATCCGGTTAATATCAAGGCTTTGTGATGGTGTAACTAGCATGTGGAGGGTATTATACATATACAATCCATTCCCTAACAATTTTTGCAGTGTGCTTAGGATCATTATCCTGCTGAAAGTAAAAGTCTTCGTATATACTCAATTTTCTTGCACTTTCCTTTAAATTTTGTTGTAAAATGTTCAAATATTTGTATTTATCCATTGTTCCTTCTATGAAGATCAAATTCCCGGTGCCGTTTGCCGCCATACAACCCCAGATCATAACTGAGCCACCCTTATGTTTCACTGTAGCACATAAATTCTTTGGTTCCATCTCTGTATTTACTTGTCTCTAAACAAAATTGCGTCCGTTTGACCCAAAAACGTTAAATTTTGATTCATCTGGAAATACCACTTGATTCCTAAATGCATTATCTTTACTAATAAATTCTTTGGCGAACTTCAATCTTTTCCTTTTATTAGTATCACTAATATATGGTTTCTTTCTGGGAACCCTGGCATGATAATCATTTTCACATAACACTCTTCTGCATAATTCTGGATGCACATCTTTATTACCATTCTGTTTAACTATTGTTGCAAGTTTTGTAGCAGAAAGCTTTGGATTTTTGTTTCGCGGAGCAAAGCTCTTTTTTCCCTTTCGGTTAATTTCTTTGGCCGGCCTGAACGGTATTTATTTTTTAAAGTCCCTTCAGATTTCGATTTTTTAATAATATAATGTATCGTAGATCTATTTATATTTAATAATTTACTTATTTCACCATACGTCTTTCCTTCTTTACGTCACTGGACAATTAATTTTCTCTTATTTTCAGGAATTTCAGATGTTTTAGGACACATGATCAATATCGTACTATTTCACAATGAATCCTAGACTCAGACTGACAAATGTATGTACGATGATGACTAACAACAATCAATGTTTACATTTAGTGACCGAAAAACTGAGTTTTGATTGATTCTTGGAACTCGCTCTTGTGTGTTCAAATACTTTTGTGGCTTCAGCAATCTCTATGTTTATAAGAAATAATTCATACCTATTGTTTACATATATCGTTTTGTTTGAAACTTTACCTATATAATCTGGAGAGTCGTACCTCCTTATAGTTAATAAATATTCAGTAAATGTTATATAATATACCTATAATAATTAATTAAGTATTTCGTACTAAGTGTTCAAATACTTTCGTGAGTCACTGTATATTTATTTATAGTCACATCAAGTACTAATAATTATTAGCGAATCGTCTTAGCTCTGTTAGAGATTATGTAATGTGTTCATGACTTTAGAGAATTCAGTAACTTTCTTCGTGTTTTTTGGTATAATTTCCATCGTGTTTGGCTTAGTTACTATAGTTTGTGCTTTTAAAGAATTCAATGACTTTCTTAGTATTGTTAGGTATAATTATTATGTCCTTCGTACTTGGGTTAGTTACTGTAGTTTATGCTTTTAAAGAATTCAATGACTTCCTAGTATTTTTTTGTATAAATAGTATTCCCTTCGTGATTGGGCTAGTTACTATAGTTTGTGCTTTTAAAGAATTCTATAACTATCTTCGTGTTTTATTGTTGTTATATAATTTGTTATAATAATTGACATTTGGTATAATAGATCTATCTATCTTTCATAGGCCTTGAGTTTATTTTCCTACTATATTATGTTTCCCGCTTAATTATAAGTTGTGTTTCAAATATTCTACAAGAGGATGGATCTCTTTCCTGCATAAGATAATTGTGCTCTTGTGTCATTACTAACGTTACTAAGACTTGATAATACTATTTTGTTTTAAACGCAGAGAGAAGCATGACCACTTTGATAACTCTGTAAGTGATAACTACAGGAAAATTAGTTGAGATGAATACTCGCTCGAGTTATTACTCCCAGAGTTATCCGAGTTCCAATTACGTGACTAATCATGTATGTTTACAACAAAAATTGAAACGCCCACTTCTTACTTGTACTGATTTCTTTGTGTCTGCCACGTTTGCTGGAGCTATATAATTATGTCACCCCTCTGATCCGGCGAGCGAATACCAATATCGCACCGAACAATTCCAAACACACCAACGAGTTCAATTTTCGTTGCGTTAAGTGTTCCAAGGTCCCTTTCACAGTGTCCTATTACAGCATAATGTCAACCCAAACTGCGTAGGCCACGTCCAAAGATGTGCAAAATACTCATCTAGATACGAAGTTGCGAGTAACGAATAAAAGATGAACTAGTTAGTAGCAATTTGTACATAATGTATTAATTTTTCATACATCAAAAATTAAGTATTAACAACTCCAAGCACGTTTTGTTTAGACGTAAATGAAAATTATTGAATTCATCTATAACGAAATAAAACTGAAAACGAAAGTAGCAGTGTTAAAACTCACATTGAGTCTGGAGTTGAAAATATTCTTATCAAATTAACCTACTTTCTTCCAGAGTATCAATTACTATTATTATAAATTTATTCGTGAATTATATGTTTTGTTGATACTTCTACTTGTCATCAATGGGAGTATATATTTTGCAATTAGCATTATCTTTCCTGCACAGCTACTAAAAATTCGTCTAATTCAGAGTTGATGAAGTCTGACTTCGAGACAAATTATCCTGGGATTAATTGTGCAGATAAAAGCGCAAAATACGGAAACAAGTTATGAACAGGAAAATTGCTAAAAATTTATTCCTTGCCCTTTCCAATTGGCAACCTGACCTCGTACTCGAAAGGATTCGTAGCGTTTCTTCGAAGCGAAAAGTCTGGAACCGTCGCTTTTATGGTGAACGCATAAATACCATTTCGTTCAATTAACATTTATTTCGGTACCACTTTTAGGACAACAGGTCTGTGAATAAAACGTACCTGTTACGCAACGAATCATTCAAGAATTGTAAATTTCTACTTACTACGGACAAAACTCTAACGAGATTTGCGCTGTTGAAGTGTTATCATTTGTGACATTTTTAAGAACAAAGAAATTCTTTATTAATTTTTGAAGCAAAACAGGCAAAAAGTATTAATAATTTACTGAGAAAGACTGAAGTGAACCGTAATTTGTTATGATAATTCTTATAGATCCGAAGGTAGAAAGCTACTAATTATATTTGTCGTTTAAACAGATTCTGAAGTGTTGGAATCGAACTTGGTGTAATTATGAACTTCATACTTGTTAATAATTTAAGGAAAAGTGAAGTATACAAGTTTGAAAAATGTATATATTATACGTTATTTGCAGTGAAAGAGAGTAGCAACATGATCATATTGAGAATTGTGTATAGATTAGTAAGAAAAGGCCTATAACATAAAAGAAAGCAAATACAAAAGATGCATAACTACATATTAAATATAAGAAATACCTGTAAAAATTGGATAAATAGTTATTATCCTTGAGCATTTTTCACAAACGTGTCTCGCGCGTATTACGTGTACCATAATACAGAAACAAATCAAAAACTGGCTGACCAACCGACACAAGGTAAAATTAAAGTACCAAGTGCTAATAAGTGAACAAGCAACATTTTATCGCGACATGTATCGTTAACCGAAGTAAGTTTCTTTAATCGTGACCTATATTCTCCTTTGGAACATTATCTTCCCCGCAGCTCAATGCCAAGTTTCGCAAGTTTCATCAATCTTCGTACCGGCGAGAACAATCCGGTAATAAATTTGACGTATCTGTTGCACGCCTTCTGATGGACAAAAGAGAGACAACGCTCCTCTTTTACTGGAGCTGAAAGAAACGGAATGTAGAAAGGGATTAATCGTTGCGAACACTTGCTCATTTCCCACGTCGCGACAAAGAGAGTCTTGCGCATAATAGTTCCTCGCGGCTTCTAAAAGACACTCCACCAATGAGACACTATACTAAATACATCCTATCGGAGATAAAAATAAGAAAAATATACATGTCGAATCGAGTAACCTCCTCCTTTTCAAAGTCGGTTAAAAAGTAAAGATTACTTATGTTTTGAAGATCCTCAGTACATTAAAAATAAGTTGAATAATATATCTGGTACACAGAGCAATACTATTGGATTTCTTCCCGACTCTGTTAACTGAAGTCATCAGTAAGGGCTGTCTAATAAATCCTGTCTTGGACCAAATTGTCAAATTTATACGGCAATATTAATTGAAGTCATCAGTAAGGGTCATCTAGCAAATTCTGTTTCAGATCAAATTATTAAATTTATACAGCAGTTGAACCCTAAGCATTCATGATGTAAGTATTGCTATAGTATAGGGAAATATAAAAATTATTATTATCGTTATTGGTTAAATACCGCCGATGCCTAATCGTACCATTCTCAAAGCTACTCGTTGCTACTTTTTACTTGAAGTTTCGTTGAAAAAGAAACGTTACGCCGATGTCGGCGAAATGAAAGAAGTCGAACGGCAACCTGGTCGTAATTGCTTAACGAGGCGTAGGTAGGTCCAGCACGTGGGAGGTGGCTGGGTCCACGAAATCGACAACTCATCGAGCCCGAGTTCTTTTCTGCCACATTTAGCAACTAGACTGCTTGTCGCTCTCTGGCAATCATCGCCAGAAGGCATAAGCTACGAACTATCATTTCAGTAACCTACGATACAAACTAACAACATTTTAAACACTTCACTTTATTGATACGCTTTGTTCTAAGACACATGCCATCCTCTAGATATTTTATCGAATATAATAGAAACTTTCTACTCATTATTGTGTTATCAATAACAATGACTTTAAGTAACTTTAACATTCTTTTAATGATACGATGGAGGGAGCATTTTTATTTATAATTGTTTTCAAAGATATATTGTATTCTACAAGAATAAAGACATAGTACCTTGTGATTAGAACGTTATTAATAGAATGTCGATTTTTATTGGAAAATTCTTTTATGCGAAACTTACATGAAAGTATGTCTCACCTTCTAAATGTTATTAATTATATTTCCCGTTCAAACAATTTGTATAGCGTTAGTATCAAACTTGATATAATTTTGAACTTCAAACTTGTTAATCATTTAACCTCTTCGCGCCCTTTACCACATATATGAACGTTTAGCTTTTTATAATTATAATTACTGTCGATAATAAAAAGAACAAAAATTTGATAATAACAAAAAAAAAAAGTCGTTCCTGAAGAGGTTAAGGAAAAGTGAAGTACACAAGTTTGAAAAGTGTATACATTATACGTTATTTGCAATCAAAAAAGTAATGCATGTACACATGTTGTACATTATTGTTGATATTTCGATTGATCATAAATGCATAAACATCCACAGTCTAATTATAAATAACCAGGGAAAATATATAACTAGTAGCAAAGTCTTCTCTATCCACAGTAGCAAAATTAAGAACAAAACAATTCTGCTTAATCTTCATAAAGTAACAAATTGAGTATCGATTCTGTTTGACACCTATATATTCGAGATTATACGATACTAGATTATAATTTATGGGCTAATGTCGATAGTATTGATTCGGTATCATTCCCTTCACAAGTGATACAGCTCTCCTCGGAAGCACGCATCTAAACGTGTATATTTCTGGGCATTCGTTAACATTAAAAAAAAAAAATCATTTAGGTCCAAGACTAATCATCGAGCAAACGTGAATCCGAATGACTGATGCCGAGACCTGTCGCTATAAGAATTTAGGACGGAACTGGTTCGCGTAACCGCCACCGTATGTTACACAATGAATGAGTAATAGTTCGTTCAAGATATGGGATAAATTTAGATACAAATCGATGTAATTCTATTTTGTCTACGAAACTATAGAACGGTTTCGTTCTCGGTGTTCCGGTGTTGTGTAAACGTAGAAATAAGTTTAAAAAGTAAGTTTATTCTACAAGAATAAACAGAAGTAGGTAAAATTTTGAAGAGAAGCAGAAATATTATTTTCCAGAAGGTGAATAGTGCAAATCAAATCGTAACTAATTCGAAAAGTTCGAGCAAGTGAATAGAGGTTGAGAGTTGGATGCATGTCTTTAAACCTTTACTATGTTGGAGTAATTAAAATAATTTGAAAATGTGTGGTTAATGTCTCGAACGTCCAAACTAAAAGTTATGGTGTCTTGGAAGTTGTTGTAAATGATCAAATATGTAGTGTAGTTTTTCTTAGGTAGGTATGTCTGTAGGTTTTCTTGAAACCCCTTCTTGCCTATGGGAGATAAATATAAGGAAGCGAACAATAATTGAAAAAATATATGAGATAGAAGTGACAGAGAGTATTCTCAAAAAAGAGTACGAAAATTATGTGATGGATACCTGGGGGGGGGGGGGAATTCCTTGAATTAAAAATAACTTAAAAATAGCACTTCTGCATCTCTAAAATAACTAACAATAAGCAAACAATGTATGCACAATGGCTCGACCTGAACAGAAAGTTTCATCCCATTTGTGAGATTATTAAATAAAATGTTTCCTCGATATCCGAGAACGTTTCAACGATGCAGCCTCTCTCGATCCCGCATGCTACCTTGTACGTCGAATCCATTGATACATCGAATCTGGTACGTTTTTCGAGCATGTTGCTCTTGAGTCTCAATAAATTCACAATTTTCGTGCCGAATATTTTCATCGGCTGATAATGTTGTTTCGCAATATTGATGTAGTCACCGTCACCCGAGGGTAACTAACGAGCCGCGGTGAACGAATGTCTTCAATGTGAATGAACTCGGTCTCTTTCTTTATTTTCTGCTTTTTCTCGGCGTTGGAACGAATACGGAATGAGCAAGCGGAGGCTGCGGACCGCGCTGTGGTTAACGTGTCGTTACTTCGCATTGCCACACTTTGCTACATAGTATTTATTTGGCTGCGTTTACCTCCGCCGCATGTCGCACGATTTCGAATAAATGGAAGTGAACGGAGCGACAAGGGAGACAAGACATTAATTCAACATTTTAGGAGTGGCTTGATTAATGGACATGATATATAACTGTTATAAATTAATGAAGTGGGTATGCATTTGCATGTTGAAATTCTAACATTTCCGGAGAATCCGTCTATTTAAAAATAAACATTCATTTCAAGCGCTAATTATTATTACCCTTGTATGATATGCATACAGTCATTACGTGCATTGCAATTAAAGGTTCGCACTCGAAAGGTGACTCTCAGGGGTAATATTGTATTAAGTTGTTAAATATATTCTATCAGTTCATTTTTTTATTGGTATAACGCTGCATACGCTGATTGCGTATCTTATACAAATATTTTTGAACTCTCTAAGGAGTCAATACACGAATTAAGTGTTTTCACAATCCTCCAGACACAAGGTCTTTCAATTATTTTTAGCGGTACACCTTTACTTTGTGGAGAATATTTCTACAGAAAGGTGCACAGAAGCTACAAACTTTGAAATAACATCATAGTCTTCTGCTTGTTAGTTTGTCAAAATTAGACTGACTGCCTATATAAAATTCAAATCGTTTATGCATAATCACGAAACTGCTTTCTAGTGAATCAAAGGTAATAAATGTGTCCTCAATTCCTTTTTAATAATACATTTTACGAGCCTAAAAAACGTCACAGATACCAACATAGTCTTCTGCTTGTTAATTTTTAAAAATTAGACTGACTATCTATACAAAATTTAAATCATTTATACATAATTACGAAAGTACTTCCTATTCGAGCAGAGTTACCAAACGTGTCCTCGATTCCTTTTCGATAATACGAACGTTTTTCGAGCTTAAGAAACGTCATAGACCGTGGCCGAAGAAAAGAAAGCGAGGGAAGAAGTGGTACATTTTTACGCGTTTTTTCACACACGTGCACCGCCTTTTACACGCATGCACATGCGTGTATTCCCTTTACACGTGACGTTGGGTGATTTCAGAGTGCCGCCGGCATGTTGGTAGAAGGGTAAATAAGGCCGGTGATTCGCCCAAGGGGGTCTAACTGTACGGATGGTGCAACTCTGCCCCGAAGGCTCCAATAACCTACTCGGGACCACTGACTCGCCTCGAACCTCAGATCGACTAGTATGACTCCTGTTCTGTCTCTTTTGATACTTTACTTTCCGACAGCTCGCGGCGCGGATGTGAGTATTTATAATTCGTCGTATCATCGATTACGCGAACGACGATTAATAATCGACTAATTTCCTCCTTCTAGTTGAAATCTTTTTTTTTTTTCTTTTTAATTTCTTTTTTTCCGTGTAAGGAAAAAACGAGCTGGATTCTGTTCGTTCTCAGACTATTGGAACACTTGTAGAATTAATTGCTGGAATTTTTGCCAGTAGGGAGAAATAATATTGGTATTGTCCAGAAAGTTTGTGCAAATTTTTAAAAAATATTCAAAGGCGCGTTTGAATTTTGATATACATATATTTATTAAATTACCATCCTGTATATGGCGCACACAATACGTCAAGAACATTATACAGCATAAATTTTACCAACTACTATAATTAACCATTGCATACATTGTCCGGCAACAGTATGCGAACTGATTAACTTAACTTGGCGACCTTCGATTACTCATAAACTGCTCATCTTATAATCCTGTATACATGAAATGAATTAAAAAATTACCTGACTAATAAAAGAGTCATCGAAAATATTAGTCATTATCGATTAGAAGTAACTACAACTATTGTTATTCGTCTCTACACGAAAAACCACTTTCCAAATATTTTTCAAGTACTAATTCCAGTCGTGAGATTAAAAATTCCATCTTAACTGACCTTTCTCTTATCGGTCACCGAGAAATTCTCTCTTTGTTCCATTTACGAATTTTCTTGTGTCCATTGTTCACAATGTCAAACATACTAAACGAGCAACTGCGCTGATCGTTCGCTCAGAAACGGGAATGCGAAACTAATGTCTGTGAATCTTAAACATTCGTCTCGCATTAATAATGTATGAGGCATGTTTCATTTGGACGCAACAGCGAAAATTATGGCGTTTCGTCCTGGATCTGCTGGTGGACTCTTCGTTAAACCATAGCAGATTCTGCTTCGGACGCGCCTACAAGGAAACGATCTCCTATAAGCGGAGTCTGCGGATCGAACTCAGCAGTTAGAAAGATCTTAATTAATAGCCATCCAGCGGCTAAAAGGGAGAATGGTGAAGTTTAATTACGGGCCAGTAAAGGGAACAAACCGCATGAGAAAAGCTATAGCTTCCAACCGATGTTCGGTTCTCAAACTTGTGTCAGAAGTTTCAACATACAATATTAATGAACCGTAAATTCAAAGAGAATTTATTCCGATAATTTGTTTCTTTATGACTGAATAAAACATACCTGTTAAATATACATCGTTTAAGAGTTTTCGATACAACGATAATGTATGTTGGAACTTATAATGCAAGTTTAAAAATAAGTATTATGGAGAAAATTCAGAAAACATTGAAACTTTGTACAAAATTTAGTTCGAATGAAGCTCGTAACGTTATTCGATACAGTGAAACAGTCCTAGGGATGAGAACAGCGTGAATACTTTCGAAAGTGGCAAAAGTATCGAAAGAAAGTTCAATTTACAGTTTTATGATTCTTAATATCGTGCAGCGAAAAAGAATTTCCAAACAAAAGATTTGTTCTCTACGCAATAATTAAAATTCGACACAAAATTAAGAACTGACTTGATTTTCCATTTAGGGGACTCAAACGTGTATCGACACTCTCATAGGACTATCAAATGTATAACAATTTTGTTGGATATCTCCTAGTTTGATTCTAGATTGCGATTTACAGAGTGGAAGCAGCAGTACTAATTCGGTATAATTTCCATCACTGTACAGTCGTTATGCGTTCCAGCAGAATGAAGGAAAGACGAAAGAAACGTCGGAACTAAAGGAAATGGAAAACGGGAAAGAATCTACAGGAAAAAACGAAAGGAAGTCGCTAACAGGTCGTCGCCAATCATTCGAATGCAAATCACACGTTGCCCGCCCTGTATTATGCGTAATTCGTCGAATATGAACGGAGAATCGTTAAAGACAAAGTGGCGTAAGTTGCGCAACCGCGGCGCAAAGTATGAACCGCGAGAAATAAAAAAGGAACCTCGACCCGCCGATTCCATGGGATGAAACTGCGATGATGTTATACGCTTTCGGGCTCGCCGAGACTCGTAATTAGTCGTCCGCCGCAAACGTGATCTAAATACGCGCAACAAAATCGTGAAATTTAAGTGGTTTTACTTCATAATCAACCGGCGTCGAACGATGTGAATAAAAGTACTACTTATCGATTTTCCGTTGCAACAAAGCGTGCGTATTGTGAAATGAAAAAAGATCGCCTTCGTATATGCTGCAGATTTTACGCACTTACGCAGACCTCCTCTTCAAGTCCTGTTAGAACTTTATTAACTTAAATTATATATTTTTTAATACGTTGACTACCAGACTGATATTCGTGGAAACTTCCACGCGAGTAAAACAGTTAGGTGATCCTATAAGTTCGTGACAAAGTCTATGTCGATATTTAATAAAAAAGAACTACAGAAATCGTATAGCCACGATGTAACGACTATGTCAGAAAGGTACGAAAATATTATTAAATGCGAAAGATTACCTTTTTTTATAACACTTAAGGGTATGTTTCACATATTAATTTAAGTAGCAGAAATATGTGACTCGAACTTTTAAGACGACCTAATATGTTTCGAAAAAATCGAAAATTCACGAATCCTATTCAAGGTAGTTTATTTAACTTCACACCTTTGGAATTTTTTCCTTAAGCTCTTTAGCAAAAATCTCTATCACCCGTATATGGTGGCCAACATGTTAAAGAAGTTTATTATGCCACAGTTCTACAACGAAACTGACATTAAGAATATAAAGATAGTGAGAGTGAACGTGTAATCTCAATACTCTCAAGAAGAATGAAAAAGATCACGAAGAACTTGAAGAAGATAAAGAAGAACTGATTTTCTCGAAATGTCGTGGTGGACTTGGTTCGAAATTCACGGCTTCGATTCCCATTCGTTGATGCAAATAAGAATTCACTCCCAATCCGTTGTCCCAATTATGTTGTATCCAACTCTGAAAAAAAACAAGCGGCGTTTAATTCAGTAAAAAAGGTATGTTTACACACTGTCACGTCACATAAAAAAAAGGGGGCGCATAATGCGTAACACCTGCGGTGAACAGCCCATGTAACGTCATCACACGTGACGCACCACGGTGCATCAGATAAGCGATATTTCGATTACGTAATCCGAAGTGCAAATTCTCCAACTAGTGGATGTTTAACGTGAGCTACCATTTGTCGCGTTTGTTAGATCGATCGTATTACGCGAAGGCGAGTTCCACGCGACACGTCGCGGTTTCCAACGGAACACACTGATAATCTTTTCACGTAATCCCTTAACAATGCCGTGTAATAGCCGTGTGCACCACGAACCAGTAATGTGAGCATTATTTTGTTTGAATGGAGGATGGACACTTGCAAATGGTGTACGTGCGTTTGACAAGCTCAAGTAAAACGTGATCACTTAATGAATGGTTTTAGAATAGATGGACGTTTCACGTGGGACTCTGAGCATAGGAGTTGCTAATTGTCTAACTTCATCGTTTTATGTAGCTGTTAATAAAGGAAAATTCTGACTTGAAAATGTATATGTTTAAGAGAATAGGCATAATTTTATAACATGAGCCTTAAGTAGACAAATGAATTATTATTCAAAATGTTTTGTCACAAAGTCAAGCCTCTTTGGTATTCTCTGTTAGAACTCTGTTAACGTGAATATACATATGAATACGAAATTACATATTTTCTAAAGAACTTTACTATAATTCTGTAATGAAATTTATGTTAAACAAAAATTTACTCAAAGCGAAATGAATCTGTTTTTGAATTAACAGGTGCAAAAATTAATTTCATATCGTAACATGATTTTGCACGAAACAATATTAATCTCGGTCCTTTATAAATCATTTTCAGATTTATAATTATTAAGATTATGTAAAAGACTGAGATTAATATTGTTTCCAGCACAATCATATCGTAACATGATTGTGCTCGAAACAATAATCGAAAGTTCATCGATGTCAAAACGTTATAATAAATAATGTTTGCGTTAAGATTGACAATCAGTAGTCAGTATTTGACACTCACTTCTTCTTCATCGATATTCTACAAATTGTTAGAATAATTCCTCGGACGGTTTCCCTGTTTGGCTTGAAATTTGCGATAAAATCAATCCTTTCGCAAGAACCGCGCAGCCTTCAGCAAATATTAGAGTCATCTTGCTGGAGGCCTTTTGGGAGGCCTATGAGAGACCGCTCCCTTGTCTCGAGCTGTTATGCAACGTGATCCACGAGCGAAAGATCATTGTCCCGCACGATCGTACGTGAACCTTGCAGCTCGTGTGCGAGTCGTGCACCCTAATTATGCAGGCACGGTGCAAGGCAACGCCATTGTCTGTGAAGTTTACGAGCCCGAATTTATTTCTTATATTAATGACTGTTAAAGCAATCCTTGTTGCCACGAAGATTTCCATTTCATCTCTCGTCTCGTCGTTTGTTAATTTAACATACCTCGATTTAATTAAAGCAGAATCAAAATCACACGATTTTCAATTATATTATACAGATCAAAATACACAACTTGAAACTGTAAGATCAGGGCATAGATTCATGTTGTTAATAATTACAGACTTACGTGCAAAATCACATTAAGCATATGTATTTTATTTTATGATTGGACCTTAGATCTAATCCTTTCCAAAAGTTAATAATTTATAGAATTAATATGTTACTAAAAGAATTATTATCAGAGATTTCATAATAATGCCAGTTACTACGATAAAAAACAATAAAAGCCTTTAAAAGTCTGATTATAGGTAGAAGGTATCAAATTTTTAACGGATTCAAACGAAATATTGTTAGGTCATCATGTCTTCTCCAGATTCAAATGACGTTCGAAACGAGTTACGCTTGTAAACGATGGATCCACTCGTCAATTTTTGACGTTTATGATTGATTAACTCTCATCCAGAGTTGGACATGACACGTATCACGTCACAATGAGCCTCTAAGATCCGTAATTCATTTAAACGGACGAGAGCAGAAGCATACTCGCCTACGTGCAACGAACGTGTCCGGAGGCTGTGGGTCACAGGAGCCTGAGGGAACCAAGTCTAAGAACTAATTCGAGATCCTACGATACAGGAGAAGTGCGTACGATTCACTTGTGAGACTCTCGATCGAACAGGATCGCAGTTCTACTCGATCAGATTGAACAAAATCGTCGAACTTCATCGCATTCCTTCGGTAACGTTAGGCTGTTTCATAAGTCCATTTTATCGATTTTTCATTGCATAGGAAGTTAGAAATCGCTTCTAGAAAACTGTTTCTAAAAATGTTGCTTACTGACAAGGCTACTGGCATCACGTGTCACTGATCAACCATAACTATGAGGATATTATGAACAGACACTGATCGATAAGAAAATGGTAGCTGATCTAACGTTTTTAAATAAACTTCTAATTGAACAAATTTTTCAAATCCTAACTACTAGCTAAAATATATGGTTGAACACACTTTCTAGACACAAAAGAAATATTTTATTGATAAATCTAGGCTAGAACACGCAGATTCAATTAAGATATTCGTGTAGCAAAAAATATAGACTTTTTTGATCGATCATTACCTCTTTTCGATCTACTGTTCGTAATGTCATGCTAGCAGGTTCAACTAGTACACAAAAACTATAACTATTGTGCAAATGCGTAGTAGTTACACCACTCTTCTTGTGTTTCTCTAGTATTCTCTATATGAGCCGTTCATTGCAAAATCGATTTTCTCCGTAAAACAAAAAGTTGAGAAATGCGATGAAATAATGTACATTGTTTTTTCAAATTCCCTTTAAGATATAGATCCAAATAAATATTGTGGAATGCATAAATACAGATGTAGCATTCATCTAACCGTATATAAAATTAATAAGGAGGAATAGCCGAAAAATAATCGTCAGTAACGTTACAATTTTTATGTAATTGGTGGAGTTAATCGATTTATGCACGGCTCATATGTTAATAAGTTATTCTCATTTATAGAATAAATGTTGCCAGAATCAGAAAATGGCGTTACTCAGTTTGGCTTCTGAGAGGCCCATTCATGTGATATTCTTCTCTGACGTGTACAGCATGCGTTGACGGTTTCCGAAATACTCACTGGCCAAGTCTGGCATAAAGTTGCCAGAAACGATTTGTTGATATTAATGTTCAACACCAACAAGATCATTCTGTGTTCAAAAAGCAGTGCGTTGACCTGATTTTAGCCTGTTTCGTCTCACGAATCTCCGAAGTTAACGATTTTCAGCGCGTGCCGGTTTCTCGAAGTTGTTTCGCCACCTGTAAATCCCATCGTACATCTACGGTATCTAGACACTTTGCAGAATTAATAATTCAAGATTAACGCGAGATAAACGAGGGAGGGGACGACGCGCATGGCTGGAAGGGGGGGGGGGAGAGAGAAGAGGGCGTACGGACGAAAAAGTTTTATCGAGGTGCAAGTCGCCGAATAAAAGCCAGAATTCGTTTATTGCTTTTCTTGGAACAACCGTGCCACGAACGAAGGTCGAGCGACGAGGTGAAAAGAGAAGCAACACCTTACCCTTTGTACCTGCTCGCGATGTACTCGGATCAGGGTCGATCGTTGTTGATAATTTTAGCGTTATTAGAGACAGACGGAGGCTGTCGTAAAGATGTCGAAAGGGTTATGAGTCTTTTTTTCTGGATTTGATAAAGGAATCCGATGGAACTCTATTTTCTTGATAGATGTAGGAATTATTTTTAACCGACTTCGAAAAGGAGGAGGGTACTCACTACTAGTTTTGAAATTGTCTAGGATACTTTTGATTCTAGCTTCTTAGCTTCATGTTTCGTCATTTTCCGATGTAGCTCTATTTTCTTGAGAGACGTAGAAATTATTTTGTCAGTCTCACTACTAGTTCTGAAATTTTCTTCGTTACTTTTGAATCTAGCTTCTTAGCTTCATGTTTCATAATATGCAAAACATTAAAAATATGAAAATGGTTAAAATATATCGAACATTAAAAAATAAAGTCCGAGTATTTTCAGTATTCCTCAAATACTTTAACACTAGCTTTACGGATCATGGTCATTTTGATCCGCTCCGAATATCACAAGGATAGTTATAGAAAACGTTTATATTTCTTGTACACCACTTATGCTGTCATAACATGTGTATATTCAATGTCCCACATGAAAGCAATAATTCAGTAATGAAAACCTAATAAATCTCCATAAACTTAGTATTACATGAGTCGTTCGCTGCACATATCGATTAACTCCGCTTTTTGAAAAATCTTAAATTTAAATGTCAAAGCACTTGGTGTAGTTATAACTTTTTATATTTATAATAGCCTTTCTAAATAATAAATATTAACATCATTAAATGACAAATATTATTACATCGCATTATTATCTTTTATTATCATTATTACCACATTATTTCATCGCATTTCTCAACTTTTTGGAATTAATCGATTTGTGCAATGAACGACTGAAATACTATTCCAAAAGCTTATCACGACAGTTAAACTAATCAATTATTACAGTTACAGACTCGATTTAAAATAAAATAGACTACTTGCTATTTTCTATTTGAAATAATATTCCACCCAGCTCTGAATGGGCCCAACGACTTGGGCGCGCTGTTACTTTGCCCATGGACCGGGTATTAATTAAAATCGCGCCAGATAGGATTTTTCACTCGGGGCACAAGGTCGCACCTTCGGACGTAAGAGGTTTCTGCAAGTGGCTCATCGTGCCGCGACAGTTTCAAAGCGAGCCCTTGCGTCTGTAATTGCCGCGCTTGCACGCCACGATTAAAAGGAGCGCCACGCGTCGCTCGTGCTCGATCTTATAATTAATAAAATCAATTAATCGATATCTTGGCGTGCGATCTCTGCTCGAAGCACTGTAGGAATTTATGTCGTAGGAGAAACAGATACACCGAGACAGTCGCGGAGAAAAAGTACTTGCCCAAAGTGGAAGATGAAGATGACGATAAAGAAGAAGAAAAACCGGGAGATGCAGAAGAAGATGAAGTATAAGAAGACGAAGAAGATGATGATGATGAAGAAGAAGAAGAAGAAGAAGAAGAAGAAGAAGAAGAAGAAGAAGAAGA